GGCTCCACCGACTGTCCCTGGTGACGCTCAGGGGACACACTCAGGTCATAACATTAACCTGGAATATGTGACACCTGCAGAGAGCAGCTAAAATGCCAACCGAGAGCTTGCTGGCTCCAGAGATGGTCACACATGCCACTTGTTTCTATTCTATTGCTTTCCCGAGTTTTTTGCAACAGGCAGCTGCTACTTTTATAACCGGAACAGACAGACAGACACGGGAGCGATGCGCGAGGGCACCGGGCATGCGGTGACGAGCCCGCGGACAGGCGAGCTTACCTGCATAGATGACAATGCCGACGACGGCCTCCGTGTTCCTGACGGTGCACCCTCGCAGCAGAACGTTCTCCTTGTGCAGCCCCACCTTCTCCCCATCCTCATGCTTGCTGTTGGGGGACAGGCGGCACGCGTCACTCGGATGTCTACACGCACCTCGCATCCCAAGTAGACAGCGCTGGGGAAGGAAGGCCTGGACGCTGGGCCAGGAGGGGACCTGGGGGACCCTGGAGTGGGCAGCTCGTCTCAGGGGCTCCCCACAAGGGCTGCGGAGGGCTTGTGCTTGCGGGCAGTGGGGCTTCTGGAAGCATCTACAGCCCGATGTTGGTTTACTTTGCCAACTTGGGGAAATAATAAGAAATGTGTGTATCAGCCCCTGGCCCCCCCAGCTCCTGACTTGGGGTTCCTGAAATGCTATAAACAGCGTGCTGGGGGAACGTTTTATTCCAGTATTTAGTCTTCGACCCCAGCTCCCAGTACGGGGCTCCTAAACGCTTAAAGTTTCCTGAGTGATAAGAACACTACGAGCATCTTTTGTTCTCATAGCTGACCTCTGACCCTGGCTGTTCCGGACACAGGGCACGAACTCCCCTGGAGTTTCCAGGGTGACAGGACTGTCTGTTGTTCTAATTAAGGTGACTCTGGGTGCACTCCTGAATGGGGGCTGGTCGCCAGGATGACCTGAACCAAGAACATGGAGACACTGGGGGAGTGACACCCAGGGAGGGCGTGGATGGCCATGTCCCTTCACCCCGCCTCCACTCCATCCACTCCTTCCATCTGGGTGCTTTGCCAGGAACTGCGAGACAGGCAGTGAACCATTCTCCTGCCTTCTGAGAGTCTCTAGCAAAGAAAGGAGGACATCGTGGGAACCTCCGATTTATCAGAAGCACAGGTGACACCCTGGACTCGCATGTGACATCTGAGGTGGAGACAGTCTTGAGGGACTAAGCCCTTAACCTGTGGGGTCTGACGCTATGTGCAGGTAGATGGTGTCAGAATTGAGAAACTGCAGGCCGCCCAGCTGGTGTCAAGGATTGCTCAGTGTGGGAAAACCCACACGTCAGACGTGGTGCCAGGATCCCATGTTTGTTTTCACCGTGGGGACGCACCACAGCCAGAGAGGCGGCCCGGGAGTGAGGCAGAGCCGGGAAGGTGATGACACACGCCCTGCGAGGTGGCCTCCCGCCACCTCCTGCCCATCACAGAGAAAACGACTTCCCATCACAACCTCATGTTGTCCCAGAAATACAAATACTTCTCTAGAAAAGGGGATGGCATTGGTCTCAGCAACATTTTCTACATCCCCTTTTTATAAAAAATCATCAAGTTATTAGAAATATTAATATATTCAATTGCAAATGGTGTCCTTATAAGAAGAAATTTGGGCACAGGGACATCGAGCACAGAGGTTAAGACGATGAGAGGACACAGGGAGAAGATGGCCATCTACACGCCAAGGAGAGAAGCCTCAGGGGGAACTAAGCGGCCGACACTGTGATGTCAGACTTCCAGCTTCCGGAACTGGGAGAAAATACATTTCTTTGTATAAGCGCTGGTCTGTGGGCAGCCTGAGGAAATGGGCACATCCTTCCCCGTATAAGCTGAGCCGCGTAGAAGGGCTCCTCTAGTTCAAGTCTCCAGGTCTTCTGACTCATTGAACCAATCTCTTTTAAATCGAAACTGTCCATAAGTGAGATGTGATGAGAGGGCTGTCTGCTGACATGTCTTGGCCACATGCAGGCTCTCTGGGAAACGGCAGAGCTCAGCTAATAAAATAAATATCCTGCCTGGCTGTTTTCTCAGGACGTGAGTCACGTCTCCCTGACAGCACTCGCTGGTGGTGACAGGTCTCATTTCTGAGTCCCAGCATGTGAAGGTGCTGACAGGGGCCAGCGACAGGGCTAGCAATCCACGGACTCAGTGCTGCCCGGTCCCCTCCAGGGCCACAGGCCGTAACATGAATGTCCAGGGATGTTGGACAATAGTCTGCAGCTGACTCCCGCCCCGGGTCCCGTCACCTCCAGCACCCAGAGACCCAGGCCCTCCTCTCTGTTCCACCCACGGCAGTGGCGGCACTGTCTCCAACCCCCCCCCGCCCCCCGCCCCCGTCACTCGAACCAGCATGCTCCGGGGTCCTTCTAGACCCCCCCTCCCTCATTTTTACATTCACTGAAACACTGGTCCTCCTGTGGGCTATTTCCTGACCCCCGTCCTCCCCGGCCCCTATGTGGCAGTGACCTAATTCAGGTCCCACATGTGTCTGTCAGAGCCTGCAGCACACCATTCCCAGCCTGGGTGCCACCAGCCTCGGTGCCCCATCCGCGCCTCACATGGCCACCAGAGCATCTGAGCGGCACGTTCTCTGGGGAGCATCATGTGTGAGGTCCTCATTCCCTCCGCTGGGCTGGCATGCCCGGCCTGGCCTCCGCGGCAGTCCCTTTGGGGGCATTTCCTGCACAGGCTTTCAGCTCCAGCCACCCCGCTGCATGTCCCGCTCCCCAGCTGCCTTTGCCCAGCATGGCCTCTGCAGGGAGGAGCTTGGCCTGCTGGGCTCGCACTTTCCAGCACCAGGCCGACTCTGAGTGCTGGGCCCTCCTTGTACACTTCCTGGTCTGAACTCCTCCATGTGGCTCCTCAGGTCCTGTTCCACTTGGCAGCCCTGACGCCTCCCTCGGTGCCCGGCAAGGGCTGGATGTGCAGTGAGCCAGAAGGTCCCAGCTTACACCAGGACCTCTGAGACGGGCCCACCGTGAGAAGCAGAGCCCTGCCCCATCCCCACGCATCTGTGGGGGGTACTCTGCCTGGACCACCCAGCAGCAGGCGGGTCAGCTCCCACCTTGGAGCAGGGAGACCCATGTTCTCCAGACAACACGGTTAAGCCTGTGACACCTGATCGCTGCACAGAAGGTCCGGCCGTGCGTCCAGGTGGGTCAAACCCTCGCCCCTCAGGCTTTGCTCACGGGCCTCCTTCCTTTTCTAAGACACCAAGACTGCCCGACGTGCCACTCGGCACCTCCACCCTCACACAAACACACACACACACACACGTGCACACACACATGTGCACATGCATACGCACACACTATTATTACTACTGAAATTTCAACTGTACATGAACGTAGACAGAAGGATGTAATTACCTCCCATGTACCCAGAGCCCAGCTTCCACAAGTAGCAACCTACGGCCAATCCTGCGTCAGCATCACTTATCCACCTTTTGTGTCCTTCTCCTTTGGAGCAGGGGCTAAACTATCTGACATGCTGCATGTTGCACCTTTTGCTTAGTAGTTTGTTGTCTCTCTTGCCCCCTAACTAAAACAAAATAAACACAAAAGAAGGACACCTTGTCTGCTCCACTCAGTACGTTGCCCCCAGAGCCTTGAACAGGCCTAGCACATAGTAGGTGCTCTGCTCAGTAACTACATGTTTAATAACTGGGTGGATAAGTGGATAAATGAATGAACAAACTTCTTCACAGGCTGCTGGAGTCTGGCTCCTGCATTTTCTCCCACTCATGCGGCCACGTGTAGCCAGCCAGGCCCCTCAC